CCCTTTCCCCCCTCCTGCCCACCCAACAGTAATGGGTACCTGACTTCGAGTTGGGGAAGTAAAGGCGGCGTGGAAAGGAACTGGCCACCCTACCACAATATGCCGAAGGCCCAGGAAGTTGTCTCACTAACAAGGCAATCCCCAATGTCCGCATCGGAAGCGTGAATAACTTTACTTTTGCCTACTTTTGAGAAATTTGACAAACAATATTTAGTTCAATCTTTGTGGAATGCAATTCTCTGAATATCTTGACAACGACTCCGAAAAATCTTACGATTTTGATAGAGCGGATAGAAAATTAATTACAAATATAATTTTGCTTTCTAACCCTTTGGTCTTAGTAACTCCAAACGGCCAAAAATGTCAGAGAGAACTTTGTAACTCTGAGGTAGCATGGTATCCAAATACCCGTTACGGTGTCTAAAAACTTCGATACAATTTCCAAGACTACTCACCGGCTATTCTTGAATTCGTTGTCACCCCTCTAAACCTTCATGTACGCTGAAATGATGTCTATTTAAGTTCCGACATTCGTTTTATACCCTGGTCTGGTTGACTTTGGGGCTTGCATTGCACATCCCACGATGGTTAGTGTGAATAAACATGCCTCACGGCGCACCAGCAGGGGAATTTTAGTTGCGAAAGGGGTGTTGGCGGTGGGGTGTGACACTCGTGATCTCTCTCTCTCTCTCTCTCTCTCTCTCTCTCTCTCTCTCTCTCTCTCTCTCTCTCTCTCTCTCTCTCTCTCTTTCTCTCGCGCTGATGTATATGCTTAATTATATTATGAGACGTATCATACTCTATATCTGCCATTTGCTGGAACTTTCATCTTCTCATGAGTCAGTGGCAGACTGAATGTTAGTTAGGTTAGGCCGAGTGGTTAAGCTACCGGACTCGTAGCTGTCAGGTTGCGGGTTCTGGGGTTCGAGTCGAGGGCCCGACGTTGTGTCCTTGGTAAAGGCACTTTACACGAATTTTCCTCACATTTCACCCAGGTGGAAATGGGTACCCAGCCATAGACAGCGAAAGATCTTGTCAGTATATTAGTGTTTCAGCGCCCATAACGGCCGCTTGCCCTGTATGCTTCCCAGGAAGTTGAGATTGTTTCAGAATGCTCTCAGGTTTGCTGGGGTAATAGTATAGATTGTGAAGTGCATAGAGCTTGCTCTTGAGCGGGAAATTGCTCTACACAAAATGCTATCTATTCAAACAATGTGCAATTTTGCTCTGAATTAAAAAACGGGTTTTAACGAGTGTTTTATAACAAAGATATTTATCGAAACTTTATCAGAGACAATAACATTCTGGCAACTTCTAAAGCAAATTTCCAATCAACACTAAATCCTACTTCCGACTCAATGGTGATGTGTAACTTTTTGAGCAGGATGAAAATTTTAATTAAATTTGCAGAATAAATGATGTCTCTGATAGAGTAATTTGGATAAAAATCCTTGTGAAAAAATGTAAAAAATCCTTTATGAATACAGGGTAAAACTTCGTTCATCGTTCATAGTCAGTCTGCCACTCTCTCATGAGATGTTTGTTTTAGTAGAGGTTTTACGGCGCTCGCTACTGCATAAGTAAAGGCCATTATGAGCACCAAATCTCATGAGATGATAGGCTGACATTTCCAGCTAGTACCTAAGATAAAGTCATTTTTGCGAAATAAGCCCATTCTTTGTTAGTTTTTGTCTTTTTAGTCCTGTCGTTTTTCTTCTCCGTGTCTGTAGCACTGGTCTGCCTAATGCTATAATTTTTACCTGTGCTTTGATTTGCTTATCTTTGAATCTTTAAAAAAAGTTTTGATTGAAGTTTTATGGCGTTCGCAACTGCATAAGGTCATGTGAGCGCCAGAAGATTAGAGGTGTTACAAGAGAGTAACAAAATAAAAAAAGAGAAGGGGGAGGTTATTACGATAGATGTTTGAAAGGAAAGAAGAAGCAAACCACACCAGAGCACCCGCCAACCTTTCACTCTTTGAGTCTTGCTAACCAGTCAAAGACATACGGGTGAGAACTTGTAAACATGTCTGCAAAATGTCGATGGAAACTTTCACATCCGTTATTTGTCCTGTGGTTTCCAGATGTTTACGTCCAAAGGAGGGGTGGGAAGTTAAAGCTGGATAATAATAATAATAATAATAAAATTTAATAATAATAATAATAATAATAATAATAATAATAATAATAATAATAATAATAATAATAATAATAATAATAACAGGGATAGGAATAATAATAATAATAAAAATAATAGATTTGATAGAATATATATATATAGGTATCGAATTACATGTTATTGCAAATATGGGACAAAAACAGGTAAAATCGGGAATGAACAAAAGTGGGACGAGAACGGGTAGTGAAACGAAGAGGTGGGGGTGGGACGAAAACGTGCTCACCGGAAAATTGTGTTGCGAAATAAATGGGTTATCCCCCGTGTTGCCGAGTTACGCCAACTGGGACTGAAAGTCACAGAATCGGGCGAACAGTAGCGCCGTGCACACACTATATTTTTCATTCGCAGAAGAATGCGGAAATCCATGCGTTAAAGCAAACTTTGCTAGAGGGAAAAACCACAGATGTAATTTGGGTTTTCTGTCTTTCAAAATATTACTATTTGACTGATGGTTTTAAGGCGCCATCGGAAGGCCCTACCCTTTCTGTTACTCTTTCCTTGCAATAAGTAGTCTTCATTGGGAAGGCCCTACCCTTTCTGTTCCTCTTTCCTTGCAATAAGTAGTCTTCATTGGGAAGGCCCTACCCTTTCTGTTACTCTGTCCTTGCAATAAGTAGTCTTCATTGGGAAGGCCCTACCCTTTTTGTTCCTCTTTCCTTGCAATAAGTAGTCTTCATTGGGAAGGCCCTACCCTTTTTGTTCCTCTTTCCTTGCAATAAGTAGTCTTCATTGGGAAGGCCCTACCCTTTTTGTTCCTCTTTCCTTGCAATAAGTAGTCTTCATTGGGAAGGCCCTAAATATGTTTATTCTTCTTTACATAACAAAAAATAAAAAATAAAAAAAATCAAAAAATCAAAAAATCCCAAAACAAACAAACAAAAAGACTCCCTATTATATTCGTGTAAAAAGTTCGCGATTTCAAAACGATGTGAACTATTCTGTATCTTTCACAAGTAAGGCTGGAATGGTATCATTGACTACCAATATTTCACTACGACGGAAAATAGATAGCTTATAATCTACTTAGCTTGATGTGGTGGGGTGGGGATGGGGATGGGGGTGGGGTGAGATGAAACGATGAAGAAAGGGGGGAATTATTAAAGTTTCATATTCTTTTTTCCCTTTCCGTCGTTTTGAATGGTCTATAGTATTATCTTATCTTAGTACTATCTTAAGTATTTTCTTATTTCATCTTATCTTAGTGTACAAGCCTAAAGGATCTTACGCACCCAGCCCCCGAATTCAAATAAATACGACCGTGGCCTTCAAATCAAACGTCTTTGTTTTTCAAGACCGCGAGTCGAATCGGTTGTATTGTGGTTATCTAGCAGCTCTGCTTGATTCTTTAAAAAAAATTGGCACCCCCTAACCTAGTCCTATTAATAGGATTTGCAGTGTGCATTTGGTAGAACAGACAACTTCCCCAAATTATCAAAACTGACGCTTATCTTCGATAGAGCTGAGCCCAGAAAATGGACAGTTTTGTACATTTGTATAATTCGTGTTTAAAAGACCAACGGTTGGGATTAGAATTAGGGCCATCCACGTTGTGGTGGAGCACTCTTCCAAAATTAAAAGTACAAAGCAATGTTATTCCGACAATGGGCAACTGTTTGAGGTGTACTGGACTAGGGACAGTCTACGACCAGAGAGTTTGCAGTAACAGTTTGTACTGTCTACCGCGCTTATAGCCACGATCAGCTGTTGACCCAGATACGCGCATCCAGCCAGGTGAAGTGGCATCTCTATATGGTAATACTGTAAAACTCTCAGGTACAACTTCCGCACTCCCATCTCGGTGATCATGAGGTGGACAACAGTTTGTATAACGGGTCTTTACGTAGTAACCACACAGCCCTCTGAAAGAGCTAGTTGGTGCAAAACATTAAAAGGTCGCTTTTAAGGACAAGCGGGCTAACCCAGATTTCGGGGGTTTCCAGAAATTTTGAAAAACACCGAAAGAGGACTTTGCCCTACCTTTGCGAGAAGTTTGGTTTTATTGGTGTGTATATTTGTTTGGTTATAGAGAAAACTCTTCTTGTCTTTTAAAGATACTGAATAAGGATCCAAAACATTTACCTTCGATTTTTTCAAAAGATAATTTTTCGGGATAGCCCCCTTGTGCTTAAAAGCGACCAAATTATTGCGCACTAGATAGGCCAACATAACGGATCTTATCTATTTTTGGCAGTAATTGTGGTATGGTAAACTCTTTGGTTTGGTGCAAACAGCTGTTCGATGAAGGAGCGAAATATTTTATAGAAATACTGGACATATTATTGGGTTTTGTTGTTGTTGTTATAATATAATTATATTACCATCTATCTCTATCTGTATGTCTCTCTGTCTCTGCTAAACGAATTTGTTTGACTAAAATATCTATGAAGAGAGAGAGAGCGAGAGAGAGATAGAGAGCGAGAGAGAGAGAAAGAGAGAGAGAGAGAGAGAGAGAGAGAGAGAGAGAGAGAGAGAGAGAGAGAGAGAGAGAGAGATACCCGTGCTGGGAACATTAATCTTATGGACTGTCTCCGTCTTTCCGCTAGGACATTGTATCCTCCACAGCCACTGTTGGTTCAGACGGAAGAAGATATTCAGAGAGGTCTCCGGCGAGCACCAAGGAACTATTCGGAGACGCACTCCCGCACACAGATGCAATGCTTTGGGGGATCAAACTACGTATTGTTTGCTGCAGATCACATGTATAGCCACTAGAACACAAATTAATTATTTTCAAGAAAATTTCAAACCTAATTGCAAAATATCAAAATATAGGATAAATCAGGGGCGCTGCCCCCCCCCCTCCTATAACCACCCATATTTATTTTTACTTGGTCTAGAGGCACGAAGCATTTTGAATTGTCTATCTCCGTCGGAGACGTCTCCAAATAGTTACTGCGGGTTCGGACAGACATGGTTGCCACGTCCCGGCCATTAATGATTGAAATTATCTGTTCCCCCTGAGGCGAGAGGATACAATATTGTGTGTAAATTGTTCCCTCTCGACTCGGGCTCGAGGATTCTGTGTCGGAATCTCCGCAACTTCATGTTTAAATAAGTATTAAGTCTATTACCCAGTTGTGAACTTGCTACCTACAAACCCCTTATGAAATCCCTAAAATAATATCTGCCTCTGTACTAGCTACCTACTAAGGTACTTTCTTCACTTGTCTTTGCCCGCTAGAATAGGCTAATACTAACAAGGTCCCCATAGCAGAGACTGTGTCCACCATTTCGGAACTTCACCGTGACATTAAATATGGTTCCAGTAGGGAACGGGATAGCGGGTGCCCACATCCCTCGTGACTCATCAGAGCAGAGGAAGATAGGACTAACGCTAACATTATTTTAAAAAACCCAACTACAACCAAATAACAGAAGTGTGTCTTCTTATC